ACATATAGTCTTGTTAACCTTTCATAATCAAATGTTAAGTTAGTATCAAAATAAGAATCTTAATTGTTCTATATTTTGTATCTTTAAGGGGGGGGCGTGTCATGAATTTGATTATGAAAATAGAATAGAGATGAATATCATAGGATTTATTTCAGAGCAGCAACGAAAAAGCTAGAAATCCGCTTGTGTCCAGGTGCTAATTAGAGAGAAAAAATGTACAAGGTCACTTCTTCTCCAGCTAAAGAAAAAAAAAGTCAAGAAGAGCAATATGACCTTTATCTTATCTCAACTCCGATGAACAAGGGCATAACTTGTTAATTTAAGAAAGATGGGAGGAGAGGAGAGGAGATGGACAGAGACACAGCCCGGACGACTGCCGGAACGCAGCATGAATTTCAGCAGAGAAAAAGCTACTAAAGGACTCTTCTTTTTCTAATTAACCGTAAGATAAAATCCTATTTAGAAATGTAGTTAGATTGGTTGTTATTTTCGTTTTTATAGAGGAAATGTTTGTTGGTATCAGCTGGGGTAAATTGGAAATGATTATTTTTGTAAAGATTGGCTTATCTAAATGTGTTTCAAATTAATCTCTATCTTTTTAATAAAATATAAAAAGGCTGTTTGTCTGTACGTTGGCTTCTTGAATAGACCGTCAAGCTACTCTAGTTAATTGGCTAATTTAAAATTGATTTATTTAATCAGGCCACGCCCATGCTACCAATTTAGGGTCCTACGTATAAGATAAAGAGGAGTAAATCTTCTAGAATGACTAGAAGTTTTTTATTTAAAAATCGTAGCAGACTTGGGAGAAAGGGTGGAAAAGTTGCCTAGGGTAAAAATAAAGGACCCGGTTTTACCTGAGTAGGAACTGTTCATCCTGGACCCCTCTCTGTTACGTGTAAAAGCAGTTTCTTAGGAAGCTCGCTTTTATGACATGCAGTTTGGTCATATGTCTTCAGTCTTGGTGCACCTTCATTTGCTCCCTGTCAGTTTCTGTGCCCAATTCAAGGCACAGAAAGTTCATAACAATTTAAGACTTCAATACTTGTTGGAACATATCTCGCAGAGATCAGCTATCCATTTCATTTGTTCTTCTCAATCCATGATGCTAAATGCAGCCACATCGAGGGAGGCCAGAAAGGTGAAGACAAGGATTCAGGCTTTCTTGGGGTTGGTCCCTGTTCTCTGGAACAGATTACTAGCAGACATATGGCAGGCTCCTTCCCTGCTTATGTTCCGGAACCTTTTAAAAGCATAACTATTCAAAGCTGTTTTTAACAACTGAGTCTTCTGGGTGCTGTTAATATCAGTATTTCATTGTTTTCTCTTTTCATTTTTCATTTCAATTGCCGTTTCCATGTGGAGTTTCAATATTTGCAAGTTATCACTTGTAAATTGCCCAGAGTAGTGCATGCAGAGTAGTGTGCCAGCCAACCAACCAACCAACCAACCAACCAACCAACCAACCAACCAAATAAATAAATAAATAAATAAATAAATAAATAAATAAATGCTGAAGATTCAGTTTCTACAGCTCTTTATAGATGTACACTATTAGGAGTGCTTTTGCATGACATTATATCAGTGTAGCTTTGTATAGTAAACTATGGCTAAAATCATTTTGAGTAACTCTACAGGTGTAAACATCATCAGCCACGGACCTTGATCTTAAATTTAAAGTTTCTTACCCAAGTGTGGTGTGCTGGATAGAGAGATGGACTCAGCCATGAAAGCTCACTGAGGGACTGGAGCTGGTAAAATCAGTCTTTAAATATCTCACTTACCTTGAAAGTTCTATCAGGGTTGCTATAAATCAGATAGGGATCCCTTTTGACCTGGGGAAGGCTTTGGGAGTTTTTGGGTGGGGTGGAGAATTTTAATGGCAGAAAACTGCTACCACAGGGGATGAGGAACGAAACTTTAAAGATTAATGTTTATATCTGATGACACTATCAGGCTTTACACATGCCGAGTTACTGAGGATTTCAGCCTATATTTTAAGGGCTTCATGAAGGTTTCTTCAGCACTTGCAGCCAATCAAGTAGGCAATGCATACTTTCATTCAACTTATCTGACCAGTTTGCAAAAAACATGGGAAACTGTGGATTGAACACTTTTCTTCAGTGCTTGTAACCACTTAGATCAGGGGTGTCCAACCTTTCACCTTCCCTGGGCCACATTAGAAGATGAAAATTTGGTTTGGGCCGCACATAAATTTAGTTTGAGCTGCAGGGGGGGGGCAGCCCTAGCCATCCTCCACAGCCCCGCTCCAAGCGCGCTTACCGGCAGCTAAGATCGCAGACAGCAGAGGCTGCCAGCTCTGACTCCGGTGGCTTTATGGGGATGGGAGGGGGTCCACCTATTGACGGGGATGGCGCAATGCAGTCACGCAGCACCCCTCTCCCCCCCCCTCCTGCTCCTTCCTTCCCTCTCTCCGCCCCCCCCCCACCGTTGTGATGTTCCCCAGCCGAATTCCGGCCGCAAGTCCCGGCACTGTAACTTGAAACTTTGGAATTCCTTTAAAAATAAAAAATTGCACTGGGCCTCATTATGAGCCAACCTGGGCCATGTGCGGCCCTCGGGCCGCAGGTTGTACAAGCCTGACTTAGATAATCTGTGCAGGGACATTAAATAGCCTGAATTGTGTTTGCTTTTTCAAGGGGGGAAAAGAAATTTTAAAGAGGAGAAATGAAATCAATTTGGGAGGAGCTTCAGTCTCCATCAAACTTGGGAAGAAGACTTGGAGAGGTCTTGTAAGCAGAGGTGGATGAGGGAATGTGTTAACACAATACATTATCTAGTGTGTTGCACCCATAAAGCAAGTAACAAGAATAGAAAAAGCTAGTTTGGCAGGACAGAGTTAACACAATACATTATCTAGTATGTTGCACCCATAAAGCAAGTAACAAGGATAGAAAAAAGCTAGTTTGGCAGGACAGAGGAATGCAACACATCCTTTTTTTTTCCTCCCCAAGTACTGTTGTAGGCTCTGGGTGAATGCTATGATGAAATTTAGATTTCCTCTTTCCCTGTTAGTTCAGGAATGCTTACAATAAACTACAATAAAAATTATAATAATTAAAGAGAACATTGACCCAAGACAGAACAACTAAAATGAGAGGTATAAAACATGACACGCATCCTGAGTACCCAAACTGGATGCTAAAGTCAGGCATTACAAAATGCTGCTCTAAACAGAAAAGGTAACTAGAAAATGGAAGACCATGGAGAGACTGCGGAGAAAATCCTCAGAAGTTCCAAAATCTAATCCAGCAATATGAGGCCCTCTTCCTTGTTCCTTAACATGAATGATTGAGCCTATACAACTAACTTTATGGAGGCTCATATGGGAGAGGGTGATTTTTCAAACCCTTTAGTTCTGAAGTATAAAGTTGAATTGGACTGAAACCACAAAGGGAGCTACTGCAGTTGATAAACTATTGCATTAATATTCTTCTTACACTAAGTTCCACTCAACATCCTGCCTGCTGCATTTCTATATATTTTTTCAGTGACACATACATGTAAAATATGTTGCAGGAGTGAAGTCATGAGGCAAGTAAGACATGTATCATCACAGTCAAATAAATTTTCTTCAGAAAGGGAAATGGATAAGGAATTAAAATGCAACTTGAGTGATAAGAAGTGAAATGCTTAAATCACTCCCATTAGGTAGGAATCTTAAACTGAAATTATTCATCATTAACTTTGGACTTGAGGACAGCAATTTAGTTTAATTTTTAATTACATTTCATAGACAAAGTAAAAGGACTGCCATTACAACTGCAATTAAAGGTAACTTGAACACTGAGATTAAAACTTCAGTGATTTAGTTCTCAAATGCAATTTTCTAAATTCTGATTGATCTTTCTGCCATTCCTTCTATATGTCTTTAAAATTTTGACTGGTATATAGTGAGTACAGTGTGATATGAAAGGATAGGTATTAGAACTCACATTAGAGAAATATTAGTTTTATTTTTTGCTAAATGCTGTATTTTCATACTATGGTTAACAGTAAAAAGCTTAAAGGCAAATAAAAAACTGTAATTATTTATTTTTCTTCATTTAGTGTGCTTGAAAATGAAGACATTCACACAGACTTTGAGTTTATTGTTACTACTATTACTATCAAATGAATATTACACAAAACATTCTAACTTCCATAAAAACTCTGTTAGACGACACTCGCGTTCAACAGAAGGGGCAGAAGAAGGGAAAAAGTGTGCCTACACCTTTATTGTCCCTGAACAAAAAATAACTGGTCCAATTTGTGTCAACACTAAAGGCCCAGAGAACAAAAAAGAGGAAATTACTAGGATGGACATTGAGAATCTGAAGGATGTATTATCCAAACAAAAGAGAGAGATTGATCTCTTGCAACTAGTTGTGGATGTGGATGGGAATATAGTAAATGAAGTAAAACTGCTACGAAAGGAGAGTCGTAATATGAATTCAAGGGTTACTCAGCTATATATGCAGCTTCTACATGAGATAATCCGCAAGCGGGACAACTCATTAGAGCTTTCCCAGATGGAAAACAAAGTTCTCAATGTCACAACTGAGATGCTGAAGATGGCGTCAAGGTATAAAGAGCTTGAAGTAAAATATGCAGCATTAACTGATCTTGTTAATAATCAGTCTGTCATCATCTCATTGTTGGAAGAACAATGTTTACAGATATTTTCACGGCAAGACACCCATAGTTCTCCACCATTAGTTCCAGTGGTACCTCATCACATTCCTAACAGTCAACACTACACTCCAGGACTCCTCGGAAGTAATGAAATTCAGAGAGATCCAGGCTATGCTAGGGACAGAGAAGTAAGGCAACCTCCTGACTCAGCTACTTCTCCCACAAAATTACCTTTCAGGATCCCACCATTAACTTTAATCAATGAAGGTAAGACATTGTATTTTAAGAACTGTATTTGAACATCTGCTGGGTTTTTTTTCTGACTATCTGATGCATTTAGGTAGTGAATGTGATAAAACATGAAATGAAGCAAACAAAAATCTTGCTCTCACTTCATACTCTGCCTCCACAAGCCTCTATCACTTTGCTTTCAGCTAAGGTTGACACACAAAACATATTCAATTCTTTTAAAAAATATTTTTCATTTTATGAATGTGGGATATTGTGTTTCTGTATCCGTGATTCTAAACACCAGGAAATAGTGAGATATTGCTGTACATCATGCCCGTGTTACCAGTAGGAAAAAAATGCCAAGGGCAGCTTGAAGGTTAACAACACCAATGGCAGCAATCAAGTCTCCACAGGATATACTCTTGTATCATTCACAAAGTGACACCAAGCAAGTGAAAATCCCAGAAGCTGATTCCTTTTTTCATCAGTTAACCACTTCTCACCCAAACGCAAAGCAATTGTCATGGCTGTTTTTCAACAATTGTGAAAAACAGATGGGGTTATTTCCAAATAAAAATAAGTAGGCAGGGCAAACCATTCTCTTTCAAGATAAGCAAGATTGGTCTTTTCAGTTTATATGATCTGTCTAAAATGGGGCTAATGTTTAGAGTTGACCATATCTGAATGGAGGGGGTGTTAAACAGTTTTACTTGAAAAAAATCTCGAAAACCGTTTGTTCAAATATCCCCAAATTTTATACAGGGCAAGAGCAAATTGCTACAACTGTACTAAAATTAGATGCTGATTTGATGTCCTGTTTAAAAGTTACAATGTTTTGTTTGGGCTGCCCCCATTTTTAGAATTGCTTTATGGAATGTTGCTTTGTTCTGCCAGCACAATTTTAAAAAGATAAAATGCATTCTTCGGAATTTAAGATTTATTTGAACAGAAGACAATCACAAAGCAATAACCAGGTACTGAGTTTTTGCACCTATCTAAGAAAAGGGTACTGTTTTATTGGTCCACATGTGTTCATATCTGAGATCCCCCCCCCTAACTCTGTGAGACAGAAGGCAAGAGGGATACCCCACTCGGTGGAGAGCCGTCCCTCATCCACAATGAGGATAAGGAGGCGAGACCCCAGCCAGCACCGGAGCCTACGGTGGAAGCTCAGCAAGGGACAGAAATAGAGATGCTGACAGAAGAGATGCCGAAAGTAACGATGGGGGAGGTTCTAGAGGAAAAGGTGGGAAAGAAGAGGAAAAAGAGGGTGGAGTTTGAGGCAGGAACAGGTGAGGTAAAAAGGAAGGAGGGACAGTTCCCGCCTGGTTGGGAATGGGTGTGGATGGAGGATCCCTGGACGGAATTATGGATGCTAATTATGGGACTGAGACTGCCTAAGGAATTATGGGACTAAGAGTGCCTAAGGAGGAGGCAGATTATAGAAGGAGAAGAGAGATTCCACCTGGACCCTCTTATTGGGGAGACGCCGAGGCAAGAGAGTGGAGGAGGAGACTGAGAGAGGAGAAAGAGAGAGTTGAGAGAGAAAAGAGAGAAAACCTGGGATGGAGAATAAGAGAGATGAGGAGGAAGAGTTACAGGGAGGACCCTGGGAGAATCGGGACCCCGAGAGACGAACCCTGTGGAATGACGATCAGGATGACAAGACCGTGTCCTTGCTGAAAGGCTTGACGGGGCAGACCATAAGAGACTGGGTCCCTTCAGATCTACCGGGACCATGGAACACTAGTTGTAGAAATCCGTTTCTGTTTGAAGACTGGAAACCCCTTCGGGACCCATTGGCAGAAGGAGAAAAGACTCACAATCATGTTATGGACACTTGTTTATTGTTAAATCCACCAATAAATATTTCACCTATTTTGAAGCAACAAAAACCTACTGATTTCTTTGAGCCGAACATGGAGCCAAAAGTTGAACCCTCACAAACTTAACCAGCTAATAGTCCCTTAATACTTTTAGCAAGATAATTTTGCAGATGTAGCATGGTGGGAGGAGCCCTATTCATTTACTGTACAGATCTGGATGAACAAGACTTATCATGATTTCAACATGCAGTAAGCTGCACAAAAAAGGTTCAGAAATGGCTGTAAAATTGGTATCATCCAACTGATCCTATGACTTATTAGCTAACCTGTTCCACTTTTCAATTTCCATGGAAAATAGGAATGCACACATTTGAGGCTAAATTTGGTAGTGGATGTATCTTCTTCATGTATCCTAGAAATTCTTTTTCCCCTTTCTTGGGACAACAGAAATGCTCTGTCTGTGCTGCAAAGAGGCTGAGAAAAAGCAGTTTGTCTGAAGTCACAACCCCATTAAGAGCAGAATTTTTGAATGCCGAACAATACTAGACAGCTTTTAGGCTTGTTGATTCCTCTGCCCCTTCGCCAAGAACTCTGAGATTTACTAACAAGAGGTACGTACACCAGACATGCCACATTAAATTAAATAATTCTGAGACAATTCTATGCAAGAAGACTGTGAACTGTGCTCATTATAAAGGACCAGAATAAAGGACCGGAATTCAACATTGTTCATAATACCTCTGCACAAAGGAACACCAACCCTTCTTCCATTCAGCACTATCATAAAGGGGGGCCGTTACTGCACATCTGCCAATGTACTTAAAACCACAAGAATTCTAACAATAGCTTCAAAACCTACCTTCTGACTATGTTTGATGTAGAACACCCCAGGTTCCATGTCTGAAATTTCCAGCTGAAAATGGGTTTAGGAGAGAAGGCTATGAAATATTTATAAAGTGCCAGTTTCAGCCATAGTTGATAGCCCTGTCATTGATAGCCCTATCATTTTTTCATTTACATGGTCCAAAATGTGTTCAACTTGTGTTCTTACTCTTACTTTTTATTGGTTTTTGAAGTATTGCGTTTACTTTGCATTTTTTTAAACTATTGCTCTTCTGTAGTTTTTTGGGGGCAACATTGCTGGTTTGTTTAATATTGTTGATTTTGTACAGTACTAATACTAGTGTTAGTTATACTGAAAGTGGTTTTACAAATACTAATTTTGAAAATTGTGAAGTGAACATTTGTATTAAAAAATAGTGTGGGCATCTCGATATAAGGCAGTTTCCAAGCATTAAAATAAGCACACTGTAGCTCCATGTTTTCATGTTCTAACATGAGTAAAAACCAAATTGGTTACTTTCAAAAAATAAAATATAATGGCCACATTCTTATTAGTTATCTCTTGCATTCAACAGTCAGCCTATACTGACTTAACTTGCTTCAATTTATTGCCAAAATCTATGTTAAATATACTATAGCAGTGTAAAAACAGTATGATTTTGGCCAATACCAGTTTGCATGTTGTCACCTTTATACATGTTAATACTGTATAACATGAATGAAACAGGTTGTTTCATGTTGTAACTGAAGCATCATCACAAAACTCTTCTATTTTGTTTTCAAAAGGGCCATTCAAAGACTGCCAACAAGCCAAACAAGCTGGCTATTCTAGCAGTGGTATTTATCTGATCAAGCCTGAAAGCAGTCATGGACCAATACAGCTATGGTGTGAGAACAGCCTTGATCCAGGGGGATGGACAGTTATACAAAAAAGAACAGATGGTTCTGTAAACTTCTTCACTAACTGGGACAACTACAAGGTAAATATTTTAAAAGATGGGATGTGATAGAGTGCTTTGTATTCAAAATGAAAATCAGAGATAAGGATTTAAATGAATGTCTACAAAATATTTTGTGTCTGGTTATGTAATTTTTATTAAACACCTCAATATATACAGAGGTTCTCTACTTTTATGAAGGTGGCATATTTCATAAAAATTCTGCATGAGTGCAAAATTCAGTCCCACTTTCTCTTGTATCTTTTAAGTACAGTGGGGCCTCTACTTAAGAACTTAATCCGTATTGGAAGGTGGTTCTCAAGTTGAAAAGTTCTTATGTTGAATCTGCATTTCCCATAGGAATGCATTGAAAACCATTTAATCCGTATCTGCTCTTTTCCGTCCATAGAAACTACAGTGGAACCTCTACTTAAGAACTTAATCCGTTTTGGAATGGTGTTCTTAAGTTGAAACGTTCTTAAGTTGAAGCAAAATTTCCCATAGGAATGGACTGAAAACCAATTAATCCGTTCTGGCTGTTTTTTTGTTATGTAGAGGTGCGTTCGTACATTGAAGCATTAGTTCCCATAGGAACTAATGCAAAGCTGGTTAACATGTACTCTACCACTAGGGGGAGAATTTTTTTTAACCTAAGATGACCTAAGGTTAAAAAAAGAACAGGAAAGGTTTTTTTTTCCTGTTCTTATCTTGGATTTCTGTTCTCAAGTAGAAGCAAAATTTAGCAAATGGAGCTGTTCTTAAGTTGGATTGTTCTTAAGTAGGGACGTCCTTAAGTAGAGACCCCGCTGTAATTAAAACTTTGATACTTAGAGGTCTTATCTTTTAATTCTCTGTTAAGCATTTTATTGTAAATGCTCTCCAAAAAAAGAAAAGAAAAGAAAAAAATAATAATAAAAAAATTAAAAGTAGCAAACACACAGAAATAGCATCAAATCAAATAAGTATTTATTGGTAATCATTAGTGCAGCGCAACTTGTTTCACACCTCAATATGTGTAGGATTGTGCTGTCAGTGACTATATTTGTTATTAAAAATATATATGTTTTGTTTTAAAACAATAGGCTTCTACTCAGTGGTGGGATTCAAATAAATTAACAACAGGTATAAATAAATAAATAAATAAATAAATAAATAAATAAATAAATAAATAAATAAATAAATAAATAAATAAATAAATAAATAAATGCCCAGGACAGTGGGATCCAATGAGGGTTTCTTCCACAGTGGTCTTCCTACTGCCTATCATCACAACTACTTCTCATATGATTAAGACATCTAGATAAGTGTATCTGTTTGGGCATTCCGCTGCTGTTACCCTCACCGTGGGCATGTGCCAAACACACACACACAAACAAACACACACCTCACAGTGGGTGCTTATGACCAAGTTTGGCAGAGAACTAACACATCTCTCCTTCCCTTTACCTCCTATTTCACCCTATAGCTCGCCAGTAAAAATTGCTTCCCTCCCCATTCCTGCTCCTGAAATGACTGATAGCCCTGCTTGTTGTTACCTGGAGGCCACCTTTGCACACCAGTTGTGGAGTTCTTCTCCCCCCCCTCCCCCCATTTCCTTCTGGCTTGGAAGGTATGGTCTCTTTTCAATCTGTCGCCACTCCACCTCAACCCCACCACCTCAATCGGTCCTTCAGTTACTGACTCCTCTGAGGTCTCC